GAGACTCTTTGTCACAGAGACGACCCTGGCCCAGGCTGTCATTCTGGCCATCGAATATGTCAAGGAACCTCAGGGCCCCGTGGCGTCCTTGAGTCCTTGGGGACGAGAAGACCTCAAGACGAAATGAGAAGGACCTGTCAGGAATAACTCGTAAGAACAAAGGTGTTGTTTTGAACTCCATTCTGTAAACATGGAGAACATTAGTTATCTACGCTGATAGGGTAAAATCTAGCTACTAATGGTTTTAGGTTCTAACAAATACTTGAGCTGCAATAGCAAATTTAGAGACCTCCAAAGATTACAAGTAAATTGTCCTAACAGTCTTGTTCTTAATCCTCACGTCTGTTATGCCTGTGCCTGGAGCTCCACGTGACGGCTTTTTTGTGTACGTGCAATCGTGTACGTGTTTTGATTTGTGTCCACACGATGTGTACTCTTATGTAGGTCAAGTAGACCTGGGAAGTCATACACTATGGTCGTTGGCTTTGCTCATCTTAAGAAAGATATGTATGTCAAATAAAAAAAAATAAAAATACATGTGCAATTTGTAGTTGCACACTAAAATTGGTTAAGCTGCATGCATAGCCATCGGGATTTCAACTGTAAATAAAGAGATTTTTGGACCAGTGATGATTACAACAGCTGATCCTTCGAGGGCGCGAGTGACCGCAGCGGCTTACCGCAGTTGTGACACACGCCCTCGCCTCGTCAGCTCTTGAGAAGGAGAATGAACGCAAAATAGGTACATGAGATCAACATCATTTCACATTTAACAACAGAGCGAGATCTGCAAGGCAAGTATTTTTTTTTTCTTTCAAAGTAAAGAACAACGGATTGCGTCAGTGTTGTTTCAGTGACGCTCCTGTGACATCGCTGGTCCACGTCTCGCCAAGATGGTTGTGGAGCGGTGGATGCGGCCGCCCCCGCCGATTAGAAGCGCTGGCTGTGTGCAAACGAGACTGCGACAAGCAAGATGCATATATCACTGTCCCCAGTTCCCTGTGCATGTTGGTTATCGCAGCGTCTTTGAACTCAGTGTTTTGTGTTGCCCTTAAAGGAGGTTAATGTAACCGTGGTTTGCGGAAGTTTACGATCCGCCTCGGCAGAACCTGGAACCTGAAGTTGGTCTCCTTACCCCTCTCTTGTGACCTGGTAACAAGCGTGGAGGTCATGGCGCTCGACGAAGGTGACCTGGTGACTGAGGTGACGTCACGAGGCCACACCCACAACGGTCCACGCCCACAAATGGTCAACAAAGGGACCACACCTACCTGTCCTGCAGCACAGCCTTAGGATCCGCTGTGACAGACTCACCATTCCAGGAAAAATAACGCCAAAGAGCTGATGTAATTGGTGCCAATAAATATGGTTAATTGTTAGTATTTTATTGTTATGATATCTCCTTTTTTCTAAGTACTATGAAAGGAAGGATGGAACGGGTTACTCATCATTGCTTTTGGCTTACAATGAAAAAAAAACAGAAAGAAATGGATTATATGAAATAATGTTAATTGCATTATAGAAAAGGCTAATAAGAAAAGCAAACAAGATTCCAAACATACAAAGCCAACAAACAACGCATAAAAAACGAAAGCTCAAACAATATAGAAATGTCTAGGCCAATGACTCCAACACAATTTTACACTTCCAAACGTGTGATTATACATCATATCTGGGAAGAACATCAACTTACATATGTAGGTCATCCAGAATTGTAAAAAAAAATAATGCAATGGTAAATGTGAATGAATATAAGATGAGGCAACCCCTTGAGGTACCAAATTTAAAGGCGAGAATAAGAACTAAGATCAAAGAGATGGTGTTAAAATAAGCAATATGTAAAACAACACAGTGGAATTTATAGTTGCTGACAGGCCAATTATCTCATCCTTTTTTCTCTCTCTCTCTTCTCTCTTCAATCTCTCTCTCTCTCTTCAATCGCATCCTCTTTCTCTTTCTCTCTTCTCTCTTTCTCTTTTTCTCTTTCTCTTCCTCTTTCTCTTTTCTCTTTTCCTCTCTCTTCTCTTCCTCTTTTCTCTTCTCTTTCTCTTTCTCTTCTCTTCTCTCTTCTCTCTCTCTCTCTCTCTCTCTCTCTCTCTCTCTCTCTCTCTCTCTCTCTCTTTTCTCTCTCTCTCTCTCTCTTCTTCTCACTATCTCTCTCTCTCTCCTCTCTTCCTCCCTCTCTCTCTCCCTCTCTCTTCTCTCCTCTCTCTCTCTCTCTCTCTCTCTCTTCTCTCTCTTCTCTCTCTCTCTTCTCTTCTCTCTCTCTCTCCTTCTCTCTCCTCTTCTCTCTCCTCTCTCTCTCTCTCTCTCTCTCCTCTCCTCCTCCTCTCTCTCTCTCTCTCTCTCTTCTCTCTCTCTCTCTCTCATCCT